ACACACACACACACACACACACATACACGTTGCTGTTTTAAACCAAGTGTGGGGTGGTTTACAATATGGCAGGGCACAGCCTGAGACAGCTCCCCAGAAGCACAAAAGGAACAGATAAAAGAGAAACGCCAAGGGTCAGAACAGAGTGGAAGACGGAGATCCAACTGGAACTGGAGCTAAAACCCAAAGACGAGTGATACCATCATAAAGCAGCCGCAGCAGAGGGAAGAATCTCCACTCTTGCTTCGGCTGTGAACACCCCCCTTTCCCCTCCCCGACTCCTCCCTTTGCTTTTTACCTCCTCCTCTGCTTTAGATCTGAGTCTTCACCACTGTTATGAGCTTTCCTGAGGAGAAAAGAAGAAATTACACAAAGCAGCATTATCAACAGCTAAGAAAGCACACGGAGTTTCCCATCAGTTAACCCAAATGCCTTTTGTACTGGTTCACTGGCCACACATTTAAGTCATGTGTATACATCCAGCCCTATGACAGGTCCCAGAAACACGGCACACCACCAGCTGGCCTCAGGAACCCCGTCATCGAGAGCGAGGCTGTGGTTTATGTGTAATGGCCATGTTGGAGAAGCTACATTCACCCAACAACAGGGCTAGCCTGTGGTTTCTAGGTATGTAACCCTCCAAGCCAATGTTCAGCTGGTTCCAGCTCTCACTCGAATTCACTTTCCAACATCCTGGCCTTGAATTCCTTCTTTCTTCTATAATAACCTCACCCACCACAACTCACCAACCTACATCTTCATTAAACTTGAACCTTTATTACCTCAAACCATCTCCAAACACACTGCTTTCTCACCACACCGCCCCCTCCTTCCTGTCTACCTTTAAGCACTTCTAGTAGGATATTTTGTTTAAAAAAAAATGCAGGCACTGAAGCCAGACCACGTGACTAGGAATCCCACCTTCCCCACTGAAGAGCTTTGAGACTCAAGCTACTCCTTTCAGTGGCTTGGTGTTAATTTTTGTATGTAAGGGTGTTTTGCCTGCATGTACGTCTGCATACCAAGGATGTACCTGGTGCCCTCAAAGGCTCTGCAGAAGACAGTGTTGAATCCCCTAGAGCTGGAGTTACAGATGATTGTGGGCTGCTATTTAGGTACTAGGCATCAAAGCTTGGTTCTGGAAGAACAACCAGTGTTCTTAACCACTCATTCATGTCTCCAGCCTCAAGTGGCCCAGTTTTAATAGAACCTCCCATAAACAGTTGTGAGGAGGAAGAAAACAGCTGGAGAGATGTTGCGGCAGGTAAGAGCATGAACTGCTCCTATAGAGGGCCTGAGTTCAGTTTACCGGGCAGCTGATCTGTCACTCCAGCTCCTGGGGATGGAACAGTACAGGCACCTGCACTCAGATGCACTGCTCCCCCTCCCAACACGCACATGCACGCGCGCGCGCACACACACACATACACAATTTAAAAATAAGGAATCTTCAAAACCAGGCATTTCCAGTGAAAGGGACATGTGTCACTGTAGGCTGTCACTATTCCTGCTTCCTCGCCTACCGTCACCCTTCCCTTTACCTGACCCCATGAGCTCTGCCTACTGCATCCTTAGTCAGCTTAGGTTCCAGTCAGTAACCTACACGCCAATTCTTGGTACTATCCCCAGCTCTGCTTTTTATCCCCTCATCTTGGCAAACTATCACACAAAGGATCCGGGTTTTTGGGACCAGCCCCAAACAGCTAGCTGAGCATCAGTGGCCAGAAGGAGCTGGACAGGAGTGTGTTGGGTACACCGTCAACCGGCTTTCCTGACTTCATCATGCTTCAGGCACTCAACAGAGTGACACCTCTTTCTGACCTAAGCACTGTCTCCGTAGAGTGCTGTCAACATCTCCTTTGGTGCCCTTTGGCTAAGGGGCGTCTGCATTAGCTGGTCTCTGCTTTCTCCTCCCATAGGCAAAAGGACGCTTCCATCTTCCCTCCATCGGAAACAAAAACTTACATCTCCCCGTTACCTATGGAACTGTCTTGACCACCAAAGTTAGCTCCCCCACCACCCCCACATGCTACGTGAGTCCCGGCCATCTTCCTTAACTTCCCGCTCACCTCTCACATTATAGTCAACGTGCCCTGACAAAACCCTTTTTGTCGCTTTTAATATTATCACCTTTTTCTTAACACCATGCTGGTGTTTGTATGTGAGGGGCCAGAGGGCAGCTTGAAGGGGCTGGCTCTCTCCTTCCACCATATGGCTTCCAGGATTGAACTCGGGTCATCGGACTTGGCAGCAAGCACCATACTTGTGGAGCCGTCACACTGGCCCTCAACATAAACTTTGATCTATACACTCCTCCTCTTCTTCCACTCGTTCCTTCCGCTCTTTCAGAGCCTAACTTCCTGAGAGGTGTCTAAAGACTGCCCCACCCCCTTCCTATATACCATCCAACTCTCAGAAGAGTGGACCTGCCTCCTCAACGCCACCACCGGGCCTCCGTCTTCCCATTGCCTCTAACATACTTAAACACGCCCCTGCCCTTATGTTAACTTGGGGGTGATTAAGCATCCACACAAGCAAAGTGGCACCTATAAAGACAGCAGGTTCATGGTCTCTGCTTCAAAAGAGGCTCACCGATGCAAGCTTACACCATCAGTATCACTTTGGAGGATGGAGCACAGTGACTTCAAGTGTAGTTCTAGTTCCCAATGGAGTAACATTTAATAGGTATTATTGATACCATGCAAGGCACATTATATTGTTAGTGTATTATCTGCGTTTTTAAATTTGCCGTTTTTAATAAAGAAAGCACGTGACTATCAGTATTTCATAAAAAAAAAATATTCTCTAAAACCGTTTCAGATAAATACTTCAGGACTCCCAACTTGCTTTATTTTGAAAAGAACAGGATTCCGGCTATCACGAGGAGACAGAAGCAGTGGCTTTCTGAGGATCACTTTACAGAATCGAGCCCAGGTCCCAACGCTTCCGATCCCACTGGGATGGGAACTGTGCTCAGCTCACCTCCGCCTCATTGGCTGTGCCGAGTCGTTATCACTGCCGCAGGAGAGGTTACGCTGGCGGGTACAGGGAAACTTTGGTGACCTAGTTCGGTCACTGGGCGAGTTGTAGAGGCCGCTGGAGGGAAAGAAAAATGGTTCATGTACCAGCTTGAGAGTTTTTTTTACAAGAACAAGTGTGGAATGTTAGCATTGATGTCATTGGGAATTTTTCTCAGAATCAGTGGTTCTCAACCTTCCTAATGCTGTGACCCTTTTAATACAGTTCCTCATGCTGTGGTGACCCCCCCCACACACACACACACCATAAAATAATTTTGTTCCCACCTCATGACTGTAATTTGCTACTATTATGAATTGTAATATTAAACATCTGCTGTGTGAACCCCAAGGGGGTCGTGACCCACAGGTTGAGAACCACTGCTCTGAACCATTACAGTGGCCCTGTGGGTGGCTTTTTATGCCCGCTTGTTTCCCTTTCTGACATTCTAAAAGGTTTCACATTAGGAAACATGCTCCTGGTGTCCACTTCAGCACTTCCTGAAGCTACAGAGCAGTTAGCTTCTTGGGTAAGTGTGACAGATACACTCTCTGCTGCCCTTCTTTCCAAAGACAGTGAGACGTCTTACCTCTGGGGTCCGTTTTCTTCCCACGGCGCATGAGATTTGCTTCTTTGGGGATCAGGGCTGTTCTCACTCTTTGCTTTCTTAAAACTTTAATAGTAAAGAATGGAAAGTAAGTGCATCAGAAAGATAAATTATGTTAATTCACACTGATTTATTCAGAAGACTTATGTAACAAACGTTAAGATGGATACATACACACATACTTCCTTGTGTATAGCTGTGACTCATTCCAAAAAGGACCTAAGATGGCTGCTTAATAAACAGTCTTTCTCTAGTAAGTACTTCATGTCTCCTCCCTGAGTCTAGTTGTATTGCTTTACGTGAAGAGAAGCCAAGCTGATCAATTGTTAAAAACTTTCCGAAGAGTCCACTCTAGTGGGGAAGAGGAGATGGTGGGAACCAGGTAAGCCAAAACTAAGGATGTGAGGAAAAGCCTTACACAAAACCACTCCTTAGTAAGTTAATTAAAAAACGGAATTTAAGTTGGAGTATGGTCGCAAATGCATTTAATGCCTGAACTGGACAGTAGAGACAAATGGATCTCTGAGCCCAGGACCAGGCTGGTCTACATAGGGTGTACCTGCACATTATATGTTGTATATAAATATATATGATGTTTTATATATATATTATTTCTAAGGAGTTTAAATGGAGTATTCCGCATGGATGACAGCACTTTCCCCAGAAGCCTTGGGTTATTAGATGAAAATCTCAGTATCAGGTGTGGAAACCTTCCTATGAATTTTGTCAGCGAGGCCCAGAGGCACCCAAAACAACAGAGGCCATGGGCATTGCGCTTGCTTGCCCACCATAACTAGACAATAAGACCCCACTGCTGAAGAAAACAACACAATTCAGTTGTAAAACATACAGAAATCAAGCCAGAACTGACCCGGAAGCTTTCTCCCTTCTGGCCACCTTTCACAGTGCTGAAAGTTGCTATGCAGGCCGCGGAGGGAGAAAAGCCATCGGGGTGTTTTCTGCCCTGCAATACATGCCAGGTGACAGGTGCCCACAGGTATAACAATGGAATGGCGGTTAATGGGGCTAGCCAACTGCTTTCTGATTGAATTTGAGGTCTGTTCTACAAGAGACAATACCTGCCTAGTGAGAAGGGGCTTGGGGGAGAGAGGGAGAGAAGGAAGGGCCATGGGAGGGGAAGAGGAGAGATGGTCCTTCCCAGGAAAAGCAGCAGTAAGAACTAGCAGATAGAGAAAGCACCACAATGAAGAGGAAGAGAACCTGGGTAGAAGTCTGAATGGGAACGGTCACCATCACCGTAGGCTTATGTGTTTGAGTGCTTGGTCCCCAGTTGGTAGAACTGTTTGGGAAGGATCAGAAGGTGTGACCTGGCCGGTGGAGGTGTGTCACTGGTGCCTTGAGGTTTCAAAAGCCGGTGCTATTCCCAGTTAGTCCTCTCTGCTTCATGCTTATGGATCAGATGCAACCTCTCAGCTACTGTGCCACGCCTGCCACCATGATGACTGCCATGGACTCTAATCCTCTGCAATCATGAGCCCTAAATTAAATGTTTCTTTGTGAGTCAAGTTACCTTAGTCATGGTGTTTTGTCATGGCAACAGAAAAGTAACTACAACACTGGAGCATCCATTGACATGAGGCTGGCATTCTTCAGCAGTGGCCAGATGCCCTGGCTCGAGCTTTGGCTCTAGAGCTCTGAAAGCTAACCCTGGGCAGGACCAGGCTACCCTATCTGACCTCTGCCCAGCTTCCGGATATCTTGGCTCCGTCCTTCCGGATCAGAATGACTTTTGAAGACCATTTCCTGACCTAGTATCGCCTTTCTGCCCTAAGAATGTAAATATAACTCAAGCCCAACAAACTGTTTTGGAACACCTCGGCAAACAGAGGAAGGGATCAGCAGCAGGGCACGGGGCCACTGCTCACTTCCTCTGGAGTCTTAGCTTGCAGAGAAAAAGAGTTACTTAGCTGCTAAGCCACTTCTAATCCTGGCCTTTTGAGGGATCTGGATAGTTGTTACAGAATATGGCTGTAGCAGAATTCTTGGTAACAGCAACCAAGAGGGAAAGGAGAAGGTGACAAGGATATTACAGAAACAAAACAAACAAGCTTCTGTCTTGGGACACTCTTTCCACACAGGAATAATACACACCTGTAGAAGGTACATCCAACAAATGCATACACATCCAAGGCTTAGGAGACAGTAGGTTGTTTCATATAGGCCCAAGATATTGCTTAATAATGATTTAAAACCACAATTTCAAAGATCAAATTCCCAAAGTAAATGCTTCCCTTTTGAAACAAGGAAAAGCAAAACAAACAAAAAAAAAACACACAGCAGAGATTCAGTACAGTCATATGAAGCGCATGTGTTTACTAGGTCAGAAAGAAAAAGTGGGAAGATCAGAGGGATGAAAAAGGAATTGCAAGGAGATAAATGTTAACGGATAACGAAATCCCAGGTGGCGTGGTGACTGTGTTCCTTCCCTGCACTCCTTCTCACAGCCCGGGTGGGAGCCGGCCACTCCTCTGGTTTCAGGACTGCTGGCGGCAATGAGTTGCAAAGGGGACTGAATTCTTTCTAAGAGGCCTGGGGTCTGAATTTCATGGAAGAGGACTGTTCTTCTGTTGGCTATGTCATGAGTGTGCCCTGTACATGCAGATGAAGCTGCCTCCACCCAGGACTGGGAGGCCAACTAGGGAAATACAGCTAAGAACATACAATCTTCATACAAAGGTAAAGAATGCATCATTCCAAAAGGTTGATCTGTAAGGAGAAGGCTCTAGAACTAAAGAAAAGAAAATAGGTCGGGCAGTAGTAGTGCACGCCTTTAATCCCAGCACTCTGGGAGGCAGAGGCAGGTGGATTTCTGTGAGTTCAAGACCAGCCCGGTCTACAGAGTGAGTTCCAGGACAGGCCAAGGCTACACACACACAAAAAAAAAAACCCTGTCTTGAAAGAGAGAGAGAGAGAGAGAGAGAGAGAGAGAGAGAGAGAGAGAGAGAGAGAGAGAGAGAGAGAGAGAGAGAGCGCGAGCGCACGCCATCACAGCTCTGGACTATGGTGTATTCCACAGTCACCACAGTCCGGCTGGATGAAGGGACCATTATCTACTAACGAATGATGGAGTGGAGGATGACCTAAGGCGCCTCTGCAGGTCACACATCTCTGACTTCTGGGACTTCTCCATGATGCAAGTGGTGCAGCCTCTGTAGGCACAGTGAGCTCCTGAAAGCTGTTCATTGTGCGTTGATGCTGCTGCTCCACAGGCATAATTGGAGACAGGAAAAAGTGACTCCAGAACTCCCTTAACAGAGAACAGAGCTCATCTTTCAGGAACCAATCCATGCAGCACGTTAAGAGGAGGTTCCCAGTGGGAATGCCCTTGGGAAACGTGACACCGAGGACCATGACAGATCTTTATATGTATGCAATCTTTGAATCCTGAGGCTCGAAAGCTATAAGCCTCTTCCTGGAACCACAGCTCAGTGCACCATTGCAAGGAATACAGTCCATTAAACGAAAGTAACATTATCACCCCCTTTACTTCACCAGTCCCCGTGAGCTAGTCCATTGTATTCTGACTTTAAAAACCACGTGGAATTTTCAGCGTGCTGCTGAGGGGTTGCAGACCACATACGGTGTGGCTTCACCACGCTGTGAGAGCAAGGGCACCTCAATGAGGGCCAGGTCCCGGCATCTGTATTTTGCTGACATAATAACATATCCTTTGGCTCAGACGCTACCCACTGGGCCACCCGGGGTAAAAACTACTCAGTCACCAAAGCGAAAAGATTCGTAACCTTGCCAACAAGGCGGTGGCGGGGGTGGGGAGTGGGGTGGGGGGTGGGGTTTACGACAGCACACAACTGCACACACCGACCTTTTCACTGGTGAAGGTGCGATAATTTTAGTTGTTCCTTCAGTCTCCCCATTGTCCGTGTTTGCAGTTATCCGATTTATGTTGTTTGTTCCTAGTAACAAAACAAAAGGAAAGATGGAAGACAGAAGGAGAGAGAGAAAGAGAAGAAAGACAAAGACACCGAAGAATTATTTGTCAGTGCAGTTTTAGGGCTGGGGAATGGCTCAGTCAGTCAAGTGTGTGCCATGCAAGCATGGGGACCAGAGTTGGGGTCCCAGAACCCACGTCAAAAAGCCAAGCATACATAGTGCAGCTGCTGATGATCACAACTCTGGGGAGGTGGAGACAGGAAGGCCCGGTCCTAGAGGCACAACAGCCATCCAGTCTAGCCTAACAGGGAAGCCCCAAGTCCCTGTGAGAGACCATGTCTCAAAAACCAGGTTGTACTGCTCCCAAGGAACAACACCCAAGGTTGTCCTCTGGTCTATACAAACATGCCCACGCTCTCATAGACAAACACACTCTTTCCCAAAAATAAAAAAATAATATGCAATTCTGGGTAATCTGTGGCACATTTTATTGATGGAGTAGGACTCCAAATAAATGACTGGCCACTCAATAAACCTGAGATATTACTAGCTGACACATATTAAACTCTCCACACAGTACTGCCCCAGGGTGGGTCTAAGCTATGACCTTTGAAGAATATTCGTAAGTCTCCATACCAAGGACTTTTTTTTTTTTTAATTAAACTTAGAGATTCCAAAAATAAGAGTCTAGGATACTCATGACCATGTTGGAATATAAACTCTTATCAGTTCTCGAGAACAGAGCTACTAAGGCTGTCAATGTGTCATGACTGGTCCCATCTGAAATCACAGTGAATTCCCCCAAACCGAAACCTGTGAGAACACCCCAACTCAAAATGCAAATGGCAGAAAGAATATACATGTGATATGTATATTCACACACACACACACACACACACACACACACACACACACACACACACACACACGTTTCCAAATGCACCTCTTATAAAGCATGCCTCAACACCTAAAGCTGACTTTTTAGGCTTATTCCACTGCTGATTTGCATACTGGCTAGGTGGGCCAGCAGAGGGAGCCCACAGCAGACACTCTGCGGGGCTTTCCTGTTAAAGCCTGGGTCCTGATCTCAGGGCGGAGACGAGCGACGGGAATGACATGTGTGGCTCCAGGGGTGACTCTTCTCCAGCAAGCACCTCACTGGGAGGAGGCAGTCTGTCTGGGAGGGACAACCAGCCAACATGTGGCAGACAGGGGCGTCTTCTGGAGGGCGATTCCTTGGGGGTTATCTCCACAGGCAGAGACCCGGATCACTAAGTGCTAAGCGGTGGAGTCATGGAGAGAGCTGGAAAAACTAACAAACACTAACGCGCATCGAGTCCTTACCGTGTGTCAGGCACTGCTGCAAACAGTCCGTGGGTATTTATCGCGTCATCCTCAAAATAGCTTTGTAAAGCAGACACTGATATCACTTCATTGTAAAGACACAAATGTGAGCCTTTGGGGCTGGAGAGATGGCTCAGTGGTTAAGAGCAGGACCTGGGTTTGGTTCCCAGCACCCACACAGTGGCTCACAACCATCTGCAACTCCAGTTCCAGGGGACCTGACACCCTCTTATGACCTCCATGGGCACATGGTACACACACATACATGCAGGCAAAATTTTCATACATGCAAAATAAATAAAATAAATGTCTAAAAAAAAAAATCAAGCCTTTAACCCTATAGCTCTCCAGTCAACCAGCTTTGAAATGTATCAGCTCAGCCACAAAGATTTAAATCTCCCCCACCACAACATACTATTGTTTTCTATCTGCCATCTAAATGCCGCGTATAAACAGTGTGAGTCAACAGAAATTAAAGGTCAACTGGGAGGGGGGGGGGGAGAGAGAGAGAGAGAGAG